AACTGCCTCAACTCTTATCTATCTACTGAAAAAAATGCTTTCCCGAGTCAATAGCCCTGAGTAATTCACACACAAAAAAATTAGTTTGAAAACAACAACCAAAGATGCATTGTAGGTGTAGGGTACTTTCACTTTCACAAAAGCTATCTAACAAAGCCCAGAACCTCCAGTGATAAGTTAACATTCCAACAAAGCCCAGAACCTCCAGGTTCTGGAAAACCCATATGCAGGGATCATTTTCAGGAGAAAAAAAGGGTTAATAATTGCAGGGTCTTTTATCTAAAAGAATACCATAAGAAAGCAGATATTCGAAAACACATCTAGCATGCGTGAATGCTATCTCCAAGTAAATGCCAATCAAATGAACAAAGGAAAGTTACCAATTGACTTATATACAATTCCAAATACGAAAAACAAATAAAGGATAACAAAATCTCCCTAACTATTATCAAATGCCAAGTTCTAAACATTATTGTATAGAAATGGCCAAAACTTCCAGGCAATGAACTTTGTAAGTCTTGTAGCTGATGCTAACCAAACAGAAAAACATAAAAATTACCAATTGGGTTCCTACTATTACAAAGCTCATAACATAATTTAAAGGCAATTAGCATAGTAAGTACTAACCTTTACGGGAAGGAGCCAATATGAACAGACTCTTCCAAAATTTGTTCTAGGCCCATGGCAGCGATCCTTGTGGCTTTTCCAAGATTAAAACAAAAACAAAATTAGATTTATCCCAGAAAAATTACAAAAACAAGAACAAGAAAAAGATTGGAAAGAAATATCACCAAGTATATTTTCATCCTCTCTCTGTTTGTCGTCTCGCTTGGTGCTGTCATTGGCACTGACATTGCTCGCATTTGATATGCCACTGTTATTTGTAGCTTTGCTACTCTTTTCTTTAATCCTCCTCGGATTCCACATGACCTTTGCAAGCCAAACCATGAGAATCAGGTCAACAACCGAAGTCCCCAGTTTGGCGAAAACGGACCCTCTGCCAATC